TCCGGTATACCGGACCGTACCCAGGGTACGTTAAAGCATACCATAGCTCTAGTACTATAGGAAGTATAGCCCGGTTTCATTAACTGCTAGAGGCAGCGGCAGTTAATGAAAGCGGGCTATAGTACTAGAGCTATCGCAGCACATGCATTTTGCATGCGATCTCACGAAATTTCAATGAACCCCGTTCTGTCCCAATAACCATCACCAAAATATAAAAAAGGTTATATGGGACAGAATTACTTGGTCTAGTTCCGGCAGTACCCTGGGGGACATAGACCCTCTCAGCGCCACTGCCACTGGCACTGGGCCACGGCACAGGGACAGAAATTCTGTTGTTTGTGCACAGCACGTCATCGCGTGCGTGCTGTGAACCTGTGTGTTGCAGAGGAGCATTTATACGGCATTTACAGACAGTTATTACTAATAGTAATAATAGGCGAAAGAGAGTAGAAAAAAAGGCTTTGGTAGTAAATATATTATATATTTCATGTTTATTTACCATCATTTTATTATTTAAACGTTCCAATTACCTGTGCAACAGGTTGGCAAGGCGGCCCCAATGTTTAATTATCAGCAGTAATGACTCGATCATCTGTAATTTGAGCAATAGACACGCCTTTTCATTACATTAATTGTAATTCGATGTTTATTTATTTTATCTATTTGTTTAGGTAATTATCCATATAAACATACTGTTAAAACAATTTAAAAATTTAAGAATGCAGATAACTACAAAGGATATTTACATTGTGGCTTATGTCAATACAGATTGGTATTTGGTCCACTATTTCGATATATAGCCATTTCTTGAAGCTAGGCTAGGCTGATAGGGTCTATGTCCCCCAGGGTACTATCGGAGGGTACCCTGGGTACGGTTCGATATATCGGAAAGTACCTCGGGGCACTACGATATGTCGCTGCGTACCCTGCATTGTCCCACCGTACCCTGACTTTCAGCCAACTGATGTCGTAATACATACACTCTGTCAAGTTACCACATCACATAGAAGAAACCTCAAAACATCGCAATCCAATAAAAATGTATGCTATATGTTTGGACTATATTTTTCTTTTTCCTTTTTCATATATATTCATATTTTCATTTTCATATTAATTTTTATATCATTCAAATATTCATGATCTGAGAGAAATTTTTCCTAATGTACACCACCAACGGGCACAACAGTGCTATCAACCTGCATGTTGCATAATTACACGGTGATACATACAATTTCCAGAAGAAATGCGAATACTGAAACGGATATTTTGCGGGAACGGACCGGAAACAATGAACGGGAGCATAAAGTCAGGGTATGGTGAGACAATGCAGGGTACGCAGCGACATATCGTATAGTACCTCGAGGTACTTTCCGATATATCGAACCATACCCAGGGTACCCTCCGATAGTACCCTGGGGGACATAGACGTACCTATCAGCGCTAGTATTAGTAATCACCCCAATCGTTGCCACATCGGTTATGCAAATACCTATTGGCCATAGTACTATGACAATCTCAGTGTAAACATTTCCATCACAAGTTTTGTATCAGTCCTGAGTGCTACTACTACTAAATAGCTTAGTTATATTATATTATTATATTGCAGCTAAGTTATCAGCGCAGTGTTTTTGGCATTGTATCTATTATTAAACCTGTTCTATATTGATATTATTGTCACTATTTACAGTATGGTGTGATTGTGCGTCAAAGGAATGGACGTACCACCTTGCAAGGAAAATATGTCTTCCAAGAAGGAGCCCATAATCAACCCTTTGCTTATAGCTGACACGAACACTGAAATTATGCAAACAGTAATTGAAGATGGCATGAAGATGACGTCGAACCCTGAAACACAATTTTCTGTAATTTGTAGCAGTCAAACAACTGCTGACACCCAACGTACAACCTCTCAAAGCAGTGCATGCGAGATCACAGAAGAGTTTGGTGGTGGCACCCATCTCCAAATTAAGTGCAGTGGTACCTTACCCATAACGGAAATGAATGCAGCGGAATTGCCCAAGAGTGACTTTCACATAGGGGCCAGCCAGGATACCAATAGTGGTAGCACAACATGTGCAATGGTATTGAACACGGCAAAGAGCGAAACAGGTGACATTGCAAGCTCTGCGTGTACAGGCGACGAGAGGAGGGGCCGATTCAGCATTGACCGCTCGATGATTGATGCAATTCCAATGGAGAAGCAGGTGACAGAGCTGCAGGGTCTTGGTGTTAATGTCTACAGCCAGGAAGACTTTGAGGCAGGTGTCATGGCTCAACTGGATCAAGCTGCTGAAGAACAGGATCGTGAGAGGATTGTCAAGATGCTAACGCGAGAGTGCAAGACCGTCGCCGCGGAGATCAAGTACGCTGCATCTTTGTATAGCGTGAAGCTCAGTGTACCATTTAGATCTAATTTAGAAAAGACAGACAGTATTTTGAAGACTGTACTGCTTAGCAAACCGAATTTTACATTCATAAATTGCTACATAGATATAGAAGTGCATAGCGACATTTATTTTAACATTTTTGTGTGAGCTGCAACTAAAAAGAGGGTGGACCTTGTAATCTGTGAAAGACTTGTGAGCAAACGTAAATTATCATTTTTAATTGTGTAATAACAGCATGTTTATTATGATGTAGATAATTGCTTTTATCTACTGCATGTCCTTTCTGTTCCTGTGAGCGGCAACAGCAGCTAACTTATGTAGTGATTATGAATCTCTAGGAGCGTCAATTAGAACTTATATAGAAGGTAAGCCACATCTGGCATCCAGCACCACATCCACATCCAGCAGCTAACTTATGCCGTGATTATGAATCTCTAGGAGTGTCAATGAGGAGGTGAGCCACCTCACGAAGCTGCTGAGTGCGCAGACTGCACAGCTTCAATCTGGTGGAAGAGAAGTGCAGCGACGACTCGACTCAATGCGCAACCAGAAGGAGAACAAGTTGAAGCAGCTGAAGAAGCTAAAGGCTCGACATCGGGCACTGTCACGGAAGCTTGACGGAAACACTGATGGCGCTGATGACGGTGAGTACCTTTGTCCTTACCAACATTATCAGCATCCAACCATGCAGTGTTACAATTAGTACATGATGTATTTACTAATAACGATGGTGATAGTAGGGTGGTGGGAATAATAATTAATGAGAAATGTTTTTTAAATATTAAAATTGGAAAAATATTAAATTCAGGTCATCAGTTGAAACATTTACAGTCTGCCTTTAGAATGATAATCCATTAAACGGTGTTATTTGTGTCACATTTATGCACAGGTTAATCAAGTTGTACAGTGGCATCCTAATTTTCTGTATGGATGAACATTTTCTATTCCTACTGATAAGTAATGTAATAAACATTGCACCTCACTGATAAATTTTCTTGGCTGTGTAGGTGATGAAAGCAATGAGTCACTTGCCTGCATTTTGGGAATAGAAACGAATAAAAAGGAAACGGATGCAGAGCGATTAATCAGAACTGGAGAAATAACTCCGTTTGGAACCACTGCCATGGGCGGAAAAGTTGATATCAGCTCGCCGAGATCGATAGAGAAATTGACTAATCAAGGCAATCAATCAAAACCAGTTGGCAAGCCCAGCACATCAACACAGCTGTCAGATTTCGAGCTCTATCTTCTTGACCAAGCTAGGCTGACAACATCTTCCAATAAAAAGCGTAAGAGGGAAGTGACCAACAAAAGGAACAGTGCAGAGACACGGAGCAGCCTGAATGCCGAAGACAGTGCTTTTGTTCACCGACGCAAACTCATCGAAAAATCATCCAGTGCTAGCGCAAAAGTCAGCACATCAGTACGAAGTAGTGGTGCCTCCTTGTTGTCTGGGAATATATTGGGAAAACGAGGACTCTCAAAAGACAGAGAAGATTCAGACAGTAGCTTGTCAGCCCATGAGCCAGAGATCAACTCGGACCTTGTGAACGCTGTGCACAATGACATGCAGAACCGTCTGGGAAGTATACATGAAAGGAAGAGGAAGTATCCAGGAGTGAAGCATGGGCATGGGGGTGAGTTTGAGGAGTATGGGTCTGACAAGGAGTGGAAGCCAGACAGCCAGGATCTAAACTTATATGACCCGGAAGAGTTCTATCACCCAGGTATGGCGATCTTTGGATGGTTTTCTGTTGTTGAATAAAACACTATCTAATTTCTATGAACAGTGAATCTCGTGTATATAAGCCAAGTGTGACTGTGAGACAATACGTTTGTGCAAATCATGCAATACCTGACCATTTCGTGGATCCACTCCTATGACTAATACAATGAGTGCAGAAAATTGGAGAAATATTCCCGCCATTATTACTCACCCAACCAAACGGTTTGCACAGAGGGTCAGGAATCAATGTTAATGTGTAGCGCAGTAAAAAAACCTCATAAGTAGCTTTGGTGATTATAGTGCAGATAAGAACCAGAGTTTTGACCAATATTTTCAATATATCCCTAATCAACAATAATGTGGGCAGGTAAATCTGTTGGACTTGTCAGTGAACGACTTTTCACATATTTTGCGTAGAAGGTGAATTCAGCAGTGACGAAGAGACTTCACTGCGAAAGAAGTCTGCTTTAATGAAGAAGAAGAAATCATTAAAGAAAACAAAGAAGGTCAATCTTGCGACGGACGACGGCAGTGAGCGTCAGTACATCAATAGATTAAGGTAGCAATGTTGCCCATACTTACCACGAGTGATTCCTCTAATGATCACCAGAAGCTTCTCAATAATCTAAGATGGAGTGGCTCTCATTAGTTCTCATCCTACCCGTTCTACACTTGCAGGCAATACAGGAAGGAGCAATTGGAGCAGAAACAGGAGAGAATTGAAATGGGAAACCACGATGAGGATGAGCCGGAAGAATTTGAGGGTGGTCTCATTGTGCCTGGTCGTCTCTGGAGCAGATTATACAGGTATCTGGCTAGAAATACTTACCTGGATATATATATATATATATATATATATATATATATATATATATATATATATATATATATATATATATATATATATATACCTTCTCAAGGCTGGTTTTCAAGGGCAGGTATCAAACCAGCCACTGTAGTTAAGTATATGGGAATAAATTGGAGTAAACAATTTCTCTGTGAAGCCCGATGAACTCGAAAAGAAAGGCTGTCCTAGTTTCAGCGTTCACCTCCTAGTCACAAAATGCTGGTGGTATTGTTCAATACCATTTACCCACTGTAATGCATAGATCAATGGGTGTTTGGAAATATTTTGAAATCCCAGGTTGCGCATACTTGGTGTTACTGCAAGGTTGTAACAGTCTTCCTAACCGTTCTCATATATCTTTACGACCACTTCAGTACTTACTGGTATTTTGGTGGTATTAACTCTGGTAATTTTTTACTGGAATAATCAGTAACATATGTTCGCTATAAGGTCATACCATATTGGGCTATATTTTTCTCGATTATGCAGTTATTTATAAAATAATTCCTTTAATATACCATGATGTTATTAACATAGGCAAAGACTCGTGCACTTACGCGCGCAAGCACATGCATGCCATCATAACCAAAATTGGACTCTCTAGACCAACCACCACACCACACCATATCCCTGCTAGTACTAAATTATTAAATACAAAAGATGTGTTGCGTCACATTTACTACCAAACAAATAAACTCTTGATACGGCTTACACACAAGGAGCTACCCGGTTCACGTTTAAACAAAAAGCTACCGTCTACACCACCGTAAAGTTTACTAAAGATGTATGAGTGACAGTAGGGGATGTAAGAAAGGTGTAGCATTGTGTGATCTCTCTAACCATGGGGATCTAGCTGACACATGACTAGCGTTTATCGCGTGTGGTGCATTTTGTCTCGACGTCGCTGGCAGGTATCAGAAAACGGGCGTACGCTGGATGTGGGAGCTTCACCAACAGCGGACCGGAGGCATTGTTGGGGACGAGATGGGACTAGGCAAGACCATACAGGCCATCGTGTTTCTTGCGGCACTGAAGGAGAGCAAATTGCGGTCGCCTGGAACAAAGTAAGAAGTAGTACTCTTTCTTGAGACTTATTAATTCTTGCTGTTAGGCACCTTGATCAGTGTTTAACAACTGCATCATGCTCGTCTGTTTGTACTGCACATCAGCTCCTAATGTTTTTATCACTAGGTGGTGTTCTTTTTTTAGGTACATCGGACTTGGACCTAGTATTATTGTTACCCCGACAACCGTGATGCATCAGTGGGTGATGGAGTTCCATATTTGGTGGGCTCCATTCAGGATAGCAGTGTTTCATGATACTGGCAACTTCGTTGGCTCAAAGGTAAAGTAACACATGAGGCAGGATGACCCATGCTAATGATCTATTAGTCACTACACATAATATATACAGTAGCATCTCGTATAATGGTGTTGGTTCCTTCTGCCGAAACCATTGTAACTTTTTCCAAACAAATATAGAAAATACATGTAAAATTGGCCCTGCCTTAGTAATTAGGACCATTATCTTTTATTGTAGGCGTCATTGGTGCAAGATATTCAGCGTGATAAGGGTGTACTCATTACATCTTATGCGGGTGTAGTGCAGCACCAGAAAATGCTGGTGAAATACGACTGGCACTATGTTATCCTTGATGAAGGCCACAAGATACGTAATCCAGATGCCCAGGCCACACTAGCTGTGAAACAGGTATACCATGTAAATCCCTTTAGACAAAAATCGACATCGTTTATGACATTAACGCAAAGGTTCTTCGAAAAAGTTTACTCTATCGACTGCTCAAGCAGATATGAAGTATTAGTAGATAATTGATGAAATCTAGTGAAACGGGGGTGGTATTGAGTAAAAGCTTGAATGCTTTAGTCTTTTAACAATTCGTTTGATTTTCAAAAGCTAGGAGAGTGTGAATCAAATAAATAATGGTAGTCTACAACAACATATTACTACTACTAGTAATAATCTCAATTATTACAATATATAATTAATAATAAATATTGTAATTAACTCTTACAGTTTAGAACGCCTCACCGGCTCATCCTGTCTGGTTCGCCTGTCCAGAACAACCTGAAGGAGCTCTGGTCGCTGTTTGACTTTGTGTTCCCGGGCAAGCTCGGCACGCTGCCCGTCTTCATGCAGCAGTTCTCCGTTCCCATCACGCAGGGAGGCTACTCCAATGCCACCTGTGTGCAGGTAACGACGGCGTACAGGTGCGCGTGTGCATTGCGCGACACGATCAGTCCGTACTTGCTGCGCCGCATGAAGGCTGACGTCAGGGACACGCTCAGTCTGCCGGACAAGAACGATCAGGTAACCAAGGTCAATGGAGAGCTGCCGGAATCGGTGATGAATGCTGTTTGCGCAGAAATGCTGCGGTGATATGCAGCTTGGCGGAGTTCTCATCGTTATCTCGTTGGCATTTTTGTCATGTGTGAAAGGTCCAAAACTATTGAAATACACGATCATCTAGCCTGGTGTCAGTGGAATCGGTGGCTGTTATTTGTGATGTCAGAATGACTTAATTTGTAACAAGTTGTCACCCCCTTCCAGAGCTTCAAGGGAAAATGGGTGCATGAATTTCCATTGCAGGTGCTGTTCTGTAGACTGACAGAGGAGCAGAAAGGTGCCTACCGTGAGTATCTCAGTTCGGATCAGTGCCAGATGATCCTTGGCGGAAACTACAAGATATTTGTTGGCCTTATCACACTGCGCAAGATCTGCAACCACCCGGACATCGCTACGGGCGGGCCACGCGTCTTCGACGATGCCCAGGAGGAGGCGCTGCCCGACGACCTCAAGTATGGCTTCTACCGACGCTCGGGGAAGATGATCGTGGTTGAGTCGCTGCTGGAGCTGTGGAAGCGGCAGGGTCACCGCGTGCTGCTGTTCTCCCAGAGCACGCAGATGCTCGACATACTGGAGACGTTTGTGCGCTCGCGCGGCTACGAGTACGTGCGCATGGACGGGAAAACCACCATCTCAACACGGCAACCCCTCATCGCTCGCTTCAACGCTGACCCGTCGATCTTCGTCTTTCTGCTGACGACGAAGGTCGGAGGTCTCGGTGTTAACCTGATTGGTGCCAACCGCGTTATCATCTACGATCCAGACTGGAACCCAAGTACAGACACACAGGTAATTTACGAGAACCAGCTGTGAGGTCAGAATTGGCCCATCTGTGTGAGTGAGGTGACCAGCCCCCCTTAGATACCGTTCCTAGGTCTGGCATGCTCGTCCAGCTGATACCTGGTTCACTAAGCAGCATTGCTTGTGGAATGTCGTATTCACTAAGTTTTTGGCTCAGGTTTGGTAGAAGTCATGTCGCTCGATAGATGATGAATGGCTATTATTGACACAGAAGTATGTAGGGCGAAGAATTTGCATTTACAAAGTAGTTTGGTTTCTTATGCAATTTTGGTGGTCTGATACTGTATCTGTATTTGGAAGAACACACGCTTGTACTTAAGGTATGGCATATTCCACATAAAGGTCCTCTGAACAACATTTAATAAAGGAACCTTAATGTTACCTGTTCTTCAAGTGGAGTGCCCCATGTAAATGGATTTGCGTCTTGGGTTGTAGGCGCGAGAGAGAGCCTGGCGGATTGGGCAGACACGCAACGTCACCATCTACAGGCTCCTTACTGCCGGAACGATAGAGGAGAAGATCTATCACCGACAGATCTTCAAGCAGTTCCTTACGAACCGCGTTCTGAAGGACCCGAAGCAGAGGCGATTCTTTAAGACGAACGACATTTTTGAACTGTTCACGCTCAAGGACGACAGCGATCGCACGGAGACGAGCGCCATATTCGCCGGAACGCAGTCGGAAATCACACTGCAACGGCAATCGTCGCGAGAGCAGAAGGTGGCGCCATCTGGCAGCAAAAAGTGGAGACACAAGAAACATGCACGTCACAGCGTTGGCACTTTAAGAAGCAAGCGTGTCGGGAGTGAACGACCTAGTAGTGTCCGACGAGAAAGCAGGTCCACAACCAGGGTCGAATCCGGTGGAATGGCGGTGTCGTCCTCTTGTACTGCCAAACGAGATGCGGTAACAATGACACCACTGCACCAGGATCAGGTTTCTGGAACGGTAGACGGATGTGCAAGTGATGGTGAAGAGGCTGCAACAGGTAGTGTAGGACAATCCTCAACAGGTGGAGTCACCGATCCAGAAGTTATCAATGCGGAGAAGACAGTTATTGAGATTACAGACAATCGACCAGCAGGCGTAGACAGAGTCGGACCAACGATAAAAACGTGTGATGGAAAAATTGCGACAGACCCACCATGTCTTTCAAGTCCACAAGGTGGGGGCCACATCTTAGATAGCCATTGTATGAAAGCTACTTTGGAGAATGCGGAATGTGAGGTGAAGCTACAACTTGACCAACTAAGCACGAAAGTGGAAGAAAAAGACACTAATGATCGTGGTGATGGTTATGTATCAGGATCAGACTCCCAAACCATATATGATGCTGAAATAACGGCTGTAGATAGAGTTGCCATTCAACCACAGAGCGAAGATAAAGAACAAATTTGCGACTCGGAAACAATTACAGATGGCACTGAAGCATTAAGTGACAGTACGGCGTACCACGTGGCTGCTATTGGTATCCCTGATAATACAACAACAGTGATTTCAGGTACAGAATATACAATGTCAACTGCTGACGATACTTGTTGCCTCAGTGGAGTGCCAAACTCGGCTGTAGATGGTGCTGCGGAGGCATGTGCGAGTGCAGGTGAGATCTCTAGTGAACCGATAGATTCTAATCGAAGTGGGGACATCAGCACAGCAGAACCCGCTGGTCTTGCCAAGCTGGCCAGAATGCGGGAGTTGGCACACAAGCTTAGCGAGCAAATAGCAAATGGCATGCTTGCCCGCCCTACAAAACATGCTAGCAAGAAATCTAAACGTCCAAAAGAAAAACGAAAGAAACGTGCAAAAAAGTCACATGAAGATGCTGGTACGCTTATCTAATGGTTTACTTTTAGTGATAATTGCATGCATTTATCTCTGGTGATGGAAACAAAAATATTAAAATATTAATGGTGATACTATACTTGCTATTCTTAGCGCAAGCAAGAGAAACTCGATGTAAATTAATTTTCATCAACAATATAAGCTGACAATCCTTTGTTTGGAAACTTATGAACTTCTGAGTCAACATCTGATTTGCCATCTAACCAAAAAACTTACTGTTGTTTTATCATGTGTAATTTGTCGCAGATGTCGATGGCGTGAAAATAAGTTTCCTAGAAAAGAAATGTCTAGAGAACAACAATGCTGCTGATGATCATGCACAGCAAGATGACTACGTGCTCAGGAAACTTTTCAAGAAAACTGGCAAGTGTCAATATATGTTGCAAGGAGCATATACCTAGCTATTAGTCACTAAAGTATTTAGTTTATCGGAATGCCATTATGTTACCATATATGTATAATGCACGACTATAGTTAATTTTACGTATGAAACCATGGTATACATACATATATTTACGTTAAAAATGCATACATTAGCAGGGATTGAACTTCTTCTCGCAGGGAAGGTGTTGCCTTCGGTTTAATTTTAGCGCACCACAAGGCAAACATTACCTTCAATAAAGGATTTTCACGCGCACGCACGCACACACACTTTTTAACAACATTTCATGAGAGAGAGAGAGAGAGAGAGATCCAAACAACACTTAATTAAACGAAAGGATGCAGTAGGACCCCAGAAAGGGCAGACATGGCAGTTTGTTGCCATGAATATCATCCATTTTTCAACAGTGTCACGGCAAGGATGGAGGGCAACCGTGACAGCACCTGTTGTTGGTGCTCTGGTCAAGTTGAACCCCTCAATTAGTTTCCTTTTTTGTAGTTACTCAAACTTCTCTGTAAATTAACTGCAGTTCAGGTAGCAATTTACTTAACAGTATAAACACGTTAAGTCCCGAATATCTTTATGTTACTGCCACAATTGCTCACTAACAGTTTTACACTTCGCAGGTGTTCATAGTGCCCTTAAGCACGACAACATCATGGACTCCTCCACGCCTGACTACCTGCTAGTGGAGGCAGAGGCAGACAAGGTGGCCAAGCAGGCTGTGAGCGCACTGAAGCAGTCACGCAGACAGTGCCTCGGTGCAGTGTCTGGTGTTCCCACATGGACGGGTCAGTCAGGAACCTCAGGGGCACCACCGGGCATAGCCGGGAGGTACGTGCCATTAGAAGTGTATAATATCAGGGGTTAATAATGACAAATTGTCGTTTTTGTTGACAAATTGACATTTGTCATTTACAACCCCTGATAATATCAATTATAATATTAGATAATTCCCCAATGTTACGAATTTCGGGTGTTATCAAAGGATGATAATGATAGTCCTATAATCATATACCTCGGATCATATGCATGTGATATGACCGTGGGATCTTCAAGCAGTTAATGTCAGTCTGTTACTTGAAACAAAGCCAATTTTCGTTGTTTCTGAATATATGCCCAAGATACATTGTGTAAGTATAATTACAGATATGGAAAATTGTAACAGATTTTACAAGTAATCAGAATAAATGGCTGTTTCTTTTACATTAGGCCAAGGTTTGGCCAGAAGAAAAATACCAGAATAGTACAGCCTGCTGCTACAGCTACTTCTGAAAAACCCAAAGAAGAAACGAAGTCTGAGAAACATCCAACTCTTTTCACCGGAGAAGAACTGGTATCCGCACAAGCAGCTGGTGCCATGACGTCACAACAGTTACTATCTCGCATTCGTAATCGCAACCACGGCAGTGGGGAGGGAGACGAGCTGTCGTTGACCATGGAGACACCATCGCTGGCTCAGACAGAACTTCTCACAGACCTCAGAAATTTTGTCGCCTTCCAGGCGGCGACAGATGGCGCAGCAAGAACCGAGGAACTCCTCGCAAAGTTCAATGCCGAGGAGAAGATAAACAATGTCGTCTTTCGCTCACTGCTGAAACAAATCTGTGACTTTCATCGGACGCCCTCTGGTGGTGGCATTTGGAAGCTGAAGCCTGAATTTCGGTAGCATCACTTGTAGCTGGGGGCACAGCATGTGATGAAAAATTGTCTCGCTTGTAATTTTCGTGCATTTGTGATCGTACTTGAATTCAGAAGCATGTCGGTTGTCATAATAGGATTAAATAAGCAGGTTATTCTGAAATATTGTACATTTTGTATTCCTAATCTTACCGAAGTTAAAGTTTCGTTACTAACTTTTTTACTTACAGCAAGTTCAGTAGCTTTAAATACATCACTATTTTATACCAATAACATAGTAATATATAGTAGTTTTGATCATTTATATTTTACTTTGTTTATTGGTAACTATTGTTATCATCCTTATGTTAGAATGTGATACTTATAAGTTTCATTATGGAATCTGTATCATGTATGATGATGTATATGGAAATAGCTAACAATGTTGAGAATAAAAAAACAACAGTATTTTAAATGTTAAGGAAGACAACTTTATTCCAAAGAACACCACTGCTTTGCTTTCATCACAAGTTGTCATTCTGAATGCTGGTTCTGCATTTATTTCTTCAGCATCTAACCCCAGTTCTCAGATCCAGTGCCACCCCACTCAGTTGCTGCAAAATAAAAGAAAAAAACGATTTGTACATTAACTGAATCAAATAAATTCTGTACCATTTCTTCTCAAATTTCCCAGCTTCGCTACACTGGCAATTATAATTTTTGGTAGTATGAGAAATGCAACTAGAATAACACACCACGAGACTAGCACAGACGGAGAGTATACGTACTAGCAGTAGGAGGTGCTGGGGAGGCGGACCAATCGTCCGTCTCAGCAGGGGCGGCTGCAGCCACAGGCGCAGCAGCAGCAGCAACACCAGTCCACTTCTCATTGCCGGTAGCAGGGGTGAACGTCTGCACAGGGACGGGAGGCACAGCAACGCCCTCTGCAGCCCAGTCCATGGGCGCTGCTGCCATCGGCGGCTCTGTCCACTCAGCAGCTGCCTCGGGTGCGGCAAAGTCGGGCTGGGGAACGTGCTCCGGTTCCTTAATGGCACGCTCCTGCTGTTCCTGCTCAGCCTTCTCTTGCTGCAAGGTGATCACACACCATCAGTTTATAATGCTTTGATTCTATTCTGACATGAACCACTAAATCATGCATTAAATATCCTCAACCGGCAGTCAGCCCATTACAATATGTCACACGTAATGTGCAAGATGCACTAGTGCACGGTCATTCGAATACTAGAAACTGCTGATAGTAATAAAACGCACCTCTTCCGGGTCACGATAGAAGTACATGTCCACCATGACATCCCAGGGCACCTCACGGCTAATGGTTCCTCTCAGACGCAGCACCTCCCGTGCCAGTAGCCACCACATCAAACCGATGGAGTGCACACCCTGTACAACACACACACACACACGTGAGTGATACACACGTTACTCAACCCCGCTGTAAATCGGTTAGAAAAGCAAATGAAATAGCATAAATCGAGTTCATTAAAAAGGTTGGAAATTCTAAAATTTGTTTGTGTGCATGCATACATGTACATGGCACCGAGTCCAACAATTCTCACCTTGTTGTTGCATGGAATTGCAACGTCAACATAGCGCAGCGGGGAGTCGGAGTTGCAGAACGAGATCACTGGGATATTGACGTACGATGCCTCAGTGATTGGCTGGTGGTCAGCCCGTGGGTCACATACGACCAACATTCGCGGCTCTCTGAATGCAGCCTGCATAAAGACAACACGACAATGAAGTTAGACTTTCACAAATCAAAGCACACGTTCTCAACAATTATTTACATGCAAGTCACGAGCATCATTGTTTCCTCCAAACGTTCTGACAGCTCATATACATTGGTATATGGAGAAATAAGCATGGTCAGAGATGGCACCTGAGGCGTGTTCAACAGCGCGAAGGCTCGTAGCATGAACGCAGCGCCACTTGAACGACACACGAGCGCTCCTTGGCAAGGGCTTTTAGTGCGCAGAGATGGCGGGGCCCCATGGCGCTCGTCCTCATGCAGATTTTAATGCGTGCGGCGATTTTAAAAAAAAATGTCTTCGAAACAAGTACTAATTAAAGGGACAGTAGGCCGCTCTAGATATTTAGCTGCATAACTGTAGCTTAACGTGGTATAATCAAATGCGTGCTATACCCAGCTATGTTATTTGTCAGCGAGATACTTTTTATTAAATTGATTTACAGCATCAAGCGGGGCTACGAATTTGAAGGCGGCGCTGCGATGACAGCCGCCGCGACGCGGTGACGGGGTCGCTGCTACGCGCGCTGTATAAAAGGTTGCGTATTATGCATTTTATTTTGCAGGTAATGACTCGGAGAGGCTAATGCACAAAAGTGCTAATTATTTATTTATATCGCTAAATGGACTATTTAACGAACGATATTGCCTTTTTAGGGCAATTTTATCCAGTATTATAACTGAAGAAGCTATATGTGCGTGTTATAAGATATTCACAATCGGCTTCTTGGCTTGTTAAATGATTCAATTTAAGTAAACACCTGGCGGTGCTGTAGGGCGCTATGGTGGGAAAGTGATTTTGCGGCCAACTCTCAGTCGTGGCGGCGTTTGAGTGGGCGCGGCAGTGATAGCCTGGGTCCGTTGTGGATCACACTGTAGTTGCGTTAGTTTCTAAACATTTAAAAAAAAAATTACTTTTCTAATGGGTTGAGTTGAACTATGACAAGTTTTTATGTAGGCGCAATTATAAGCCGAAATGTAGGCCTGAAATAGTAGAGGCCGTAGAAACGCGTAGAGGCTAGCTGTTGGGCTTTAAAGGCGGAATTAGGCGAGATCGAGGAAATTGATATGATGCTTGAATTCAGAAGTGAATGAATGAATGAAAATGAAATTAAATTGAAGGTGCAGAAATGTTTAGATGGGCGCATTCCGCGCGGCAGATTGTCTCGTCGGGCCATCGGTTTGAAACGCAACTGGGCGTGGCGCGGTGCGCGAAGCAGTTTCGGGGAGCAGGATTGCGGGGCGATGCGGC